CGAAAAAATTTTTGTACAAAAGTTGTAGGCTCTGACGTTTTATACAAGAAAGATTCTATGAATTTTTCTTCTAATTTCGATATTTAATGAGTTAAGTACGATTAATCAGCATTTTATTGGTACTGACAAAATCCAGTCGTTCCTCCACCGAATCAGCCGTCTTAATGACTGGAGTTAGAAGGAAATTGTATAAAATCTTTCTTGTATCAAGTGTTCAGCAGTGACGAGTGTCTTATTGTCTATTTCTCATTTCGGTGGGAATTTATTCTAAAGGGCGTAAAAATTTCCAATTTTTTTCGTGCGGCACGAAGTCCCACAAGGCTGCTAGTCTTTAGTAATCTTTCCTCAGTGATTTTACTCACCGTACAGAGCGAGCAGAAGCCACCTTTTCTCCCGCATGTTGTAGCTACTGTAACAAGCAAACATTTTCTTGATCAGTTATATGCAGGGTTTAAACCTGATCGACGATTTTAACATTTTTTCACTATAGGTTCCTTTCGCGTTTGGTCGAACTCTCGTTAAAGAATTAATAAGCGCGCGCTAAAAGACGGTGTAAATACGATATTGAGTTGTACGAAGCATAATCGAGGCGTTGAGCGTAGACCGGTACAGTCGCTCGAGCATATGGGAACGGTTAGGAACTTTCTCTGTGCTGTCACCACTGCTAACCATATAATGCAAGGATAATGTAGGTGTTATATAAATGTACAATCACGTAATACCGGGTGTGACTTTGTCGTCACCGTGCGGTACGCTGCTTCTATTAATTACTTGAGCAAAGAGAGAGGCCCTCGACGTATCACCCGGTATAGCCCCTCGCGCGAGTGGTAGCAGTTTTTCGAAACGCGACCTTGCACAGATCGACGGCAAAAAGTTTGGCCTATGCGTCCTTCGACGATTTACCGTTGCACCCGAGAACGGTACTTTAAAATTCGGTGAAAGTAGTTGCGTAATCGGTCAGAGGTCGTCAATTTTCATGGGAGACCGCGAGACGCTCAATGAATTTTTACATTTTCTAATCCCGTTCGGTTTTCCGGCGAAAAAATGTAGACCACTCTCGTTATTCGTAACATATTTTCGCATTAATTAAGCGCTCTATCGCGCTCCAGTTCGCAGACAGATCGTTATCGCGCTGTAAAAGCGGCAGGAAAAACTACAGAAGGATCGCTGCTCTCGAGGAGAGAATCGCGTTCGCGAGTTACACAAGTTTCGCCGTACGTACATACGTATCTACGTATCGCTTTCCTTGCCCGTGTCACAACTGTGGCCATCGCGGTTCTCAGGGTTCGCTGCATGGGAAATTCAGAGCCCCGTTGTTCGGGAGACGCGATTACGCGATACTCTTTAACGCGTCTCTATTTCCTGGACGTTTCTAAAACGTCCCGCGTCGACTAGATGTAATCGTAGAAATTTCTAGACACCCTCCGGCGAGTGGCCACTCCATCAGCCAAAAGTACGAACTTGTACGTTAGTTCGGTGAAAGCTGAAAAACATTGCTTACTTACATAATATAATTTTTTGATTCATTTTTACGGAATATGTTATCACAGTCGAATCAGTGGCTTGAGCCGTAAACTTTTGCCAAATAGCGTAGCTACGATCGTTGCAAATCTGTTTTCTCCAAGATAGTGGAGATTACTTTGTATCACGTCGAGTCTGAACGCGAGATTCGCAACGTTGGCTTACGGTAAATTACGTTTCGTTACGACACAGGTAACGGTCATCCCGCTAAAGGTCACCGGAAGCATCGGCTGGCACGGCCAGTTCGATGCCCGATTGATTCAATTTCTTAAACGATCCGCATAACCGGTGTTTTACTCGGAAACGATCCCTCTCGCGGAATCCGACGTAGAACGCTCTCGGAACTCGGGGAATTCGCTGTTTTCGTTTCTCTATCGCGTAACAGGACTACGCTGTTTATCTCGTTAAGACATTCGCAATTTTTCAAATCTGAAAGGTGTGGTCAGAGAACTCGATAGCCTTCGAAACCCGTATACCTACGATGTTGCTTTCATTTCCTCGTGTTCGCACTACCTATGCGCGTTGCCTTCTCGAAGAACTGCAACGAGGAATCCGAGATAACGTTAGATAACAATTTGCGAGAATTGCAGCAGCAGCAGCAATTCGCAGAGATTGTCCACTGGCCATCGGTTTCGTTATGAAACCAATAACACATGAATAAATTCATTCAACGCAACCTGATAAAATCGTATTGTACGCGATATATCTTATCGATCGATCTTGTGTATTCGCGGTTAAAAACAGAACGTGGGAATCGGCTGTTCGGTAATTTCGTCCGTCGTTCACAGGAAACGCGAATCGCGGATGATTGCGCAGTAGAAAAAGTCGGGCAGTGGTCAGCCGGCCTGTCGACTCCGTCGCGATCGGACGTCCCACCGCTACCGTTTTTAACGCCCTTTTACTTTCTACGCTTATTTTGTAACTTTATTGGCGTCGATTGTACGAGGTCAAGGTGTGCGAGGAATCGAGTTTAAGGAACATTTCTAGGCTTCGTGGACGGACAGTACGTTTTAATAGGGTTGTGCGCGCAGTGGATCCAGACGTTTGCGGTCGGACTCGCTTCAAACGCTTGTCTTTCAATTAAAAGCTACGAGTTTCGAATGATTGCCGGAGGTGGTGTCTCGGCAGGCCGCGCCTCGGTGTGGCTTTCCTTCTCATCGTTCAGTTAGAAGAATGGCTACTTTGTATGTAGAAAGTGTTCGATTGTGCAGGTGAACGTGAACGCTCGATATGCTACGTAGGAGAATATGGAACGCGACTATTGCAAACAGCTGTTGGCGTAATCGCCGGGAATCAGGGTAACGCGGATTCACGCAAATTTCGCGTGTTCAGAAAATGGGTCGCCGCTTTTACCGCGGCTAATCGATTTTTCAGATAGAGATGGATTCCGTCAGGGGATGGTCCCGATAATCGCGTATGCTGCCCCCGCATAAGAGACGAGAAAATCGAGTCGAGGCGCGCACTTAATGCTCGCTGCTTTTTCGTGTCAAGGTGCCAGAATTGTCCGGATCGGTTGACACGCGAAACCTCGCGTCAGCCCGATCCATCTCGGTGGTTCACACCGGAAAACGAGAGATCCCGGCGAAACCGATTTCACCCGTTAGAATTTCGAAATCCCCTTCTTACAATGAGCGCTTATAATTGACGATCGTCGAGAACACCCGTGGATACGACTCCGGAGGATCGCATAATCGATCTTACTCGAGGTAAAAGCGGGCAAATTACGTAACCGCGATGCCGTCTTGTTCATTGGTAACCGTTATCGATCGTCGCCGGTGACTTCTGAGTTCGTTCAACCAGGAATCGACGACGCGAGTTTCTGTTTCGACTGATAAATCCGAAATTTTTCTACGATTCGATAGCCGACGAACGGTCTCTGGCGCACGGTGAGAACCGGCTTCAGGATAAATAGTTTCACTCGCGTCGAGGCGAATAAAATCTATTCGAGCGTTAAATGCCGTTTTACCGAGCATTGTGCAAGCTAGCTACCCCGAGTTTTCTCTCAAATGCAACGGTAACGCCGACAGAAATTCGCTGTTCCTCGATTTTCGCCGTTAAATTTCATTCGCAACCGAGTCGGTCTCGGAAGTAATTTTTATCATCGTGGAGACACAGTTGGAAGCCGGAATCAGATCTTCGTCCAGGAAGTTCCTCCTCTAGAAAGAGGTTGGCTCGTGTAATTAGCGTAATTAATGTGTCGTGAACGAGCTACGACTATTTTCTCTGCTCCGCAAGGATCGTCAAGGTAGCATAACGAGACGGGAGATGTGCCACGGTAGCTTCCTACCAATTGCTCCGTAAATTACAGCTGGCTGTATAAATTACATCGAGACCGGGGAGTCGTCGGACCGTCGCTGGGTAAAATTGTTTGCTCTCGCCGAGTTCGTCGTAGTCATAGGTTTCTGAATCACGTCGACTTTCATGTATCGTTCGGAATTCGATTTGAAGCATCATCACGCGTGTCTGTGACACACTTTGTCCCATTTCGAAAGCGATGGTCAAATTTTAAAGAGAATTCTCTCTTTCATCCTACATAGCGTTTTAATAGTATTTATTAATGTCCGTCGATCTGTCCGAAGTCCGAGATATTGTTCGAGTAAAAGATGATTTCGAAACGTCTCATACGACAGAGAAACCGTCGAGTGCGGTGCATCATTGGAGAGTCGATGATGGTTGATTAACCGTAGCCGAGGTGATATTCATTTTCTGAGAAACTCGTCGCGAAAGGGGTTTCACGATCTCGGGAGACCGCGGAGGCGAGGCCCTTCGGTCAATGGAAACGCGATTAACCTTTAGGTAATGGAGATCAAACATCGGGAAACACGAACTCGCCGCGTGATGAAACGTCCAATTACCTACTTGCGATGCAGTTATGCTCGTCCGATCGGATCAGGCAATTCATATCGGGAGATAAATTGATCATTAGTAGACTACGTTCGAAACTGAACCGATGCATAAAAATCTGTAGTTCAGTACATAGTACTCTCTGTACGTAAAGAAAAGTAGAACAAAGTTTCGTGGATCGATCTCGTAGTTTTCCGTAACCTCGACAGTGCCTCGAGCAGCTCGCTCGTTCTCCGTCGCGCGTTCGTTCTTCCTCCTTATTGCATTCTAACGTGTCCACGTTCACTTTCGATCGACGGATTCCGGCGACCGATCCAAAGTGCACGCGTTGAAAGTGAATTTAATTCGCCGAGGACACGCCTATCGTCGGCCTAATTACACGCGGGACCACGAAATCGTTCGTTCGGATCTCTCTTCCTTAGCCGGAAACCTTGACTGGCTCGCATTTGGTATTTACGATTAATTGGTAGGCCGCGGCTGAACGCGACGCTCGAGCGAAATAGCTGAACCAAATGGCAAGCAAAATCCACTGAAAATAAGAAATGGACCGACAGTAATAATTATAGAGGCCTACTTATAAATCGCCGAGCGAGTCGGGCAGGTGGTTGCGCAATTCGCGGACGCTTTCGCGCGTACCCGCTGCGTCGACCGATTGATCGGATCTTTTTCAATAAACAATATTGAAGTTGCGAGCACGAATGCCGCGTTACGACACGAGAACCGAGCCGCGTCGTCGTTGTCGTCCGGCCGCGGTCTGCTTTCTCCCGTTATACGCCGACGGAAAAATAAACGAGATACGTCGTAATCAAATGCTCGAAATGAGTTCTCAACGAAGCGCATGAAAATCGTTGCAACTCTCGGTTTCGTGCGAAGACTCGTGGTGTTCATAAATGCATTGACGCAACAAACAGCGTGATCCTTCGTGTAATCGCTTCGAGACAGGATACAATTTTCATTGTAGAAGTCCAATAAATAAGTATACCGTAACAACGGTAACAGAACTCGCGAGCGAGATAGAATCCACGACTATTACTGCATACAATGTTAGACGGTGGAGTGTTGCAAGTCGTGCGACTCGTTGAGAACGTTGCGCGCCGCGCTCTGACGTAAACGGTGGAGGTAATAAATTCGTTTTACGATAGAATTCGAACGATCCGATCCGTGAGAACGGAAGGACGTTCAAATCTCCCAGCGATCTCGATGCCTGGAACTTCGTTTTATTCGTTATCGGGCGGAACGCGGCGTGAAAATATATTCTAAAACCGGCTCGGGGAAAATGAGTTTCGAACGGAATTTCCTTGATCGCGTGCGCGCATTTTATCTAACACGTGCGGCTGGAACGGAACTTCGTACTCGCGTTAGTAGATCAGCAACTGTTGATCGAAAATCGGCGAGTATACACCGGTAATTACATATTTTTTTCCTTTCACCTCGTCGAACGACCTCCGAGGTGGGTGTAGGTGGTTCTCCTCTTTTTTTTCCTCTTTCGTCGAAGGGAAAAAGGAGAAATGGAAAGTCGAGCTCCGCGGTAAATTCGATAGAACCAGTTCGCTCTCGTTGTCGTCGCAAGGTGTAAAAACGGAGGAGAGGACGCGATGGCCGGCGAAAGTCCTGCCTCCTTTTATCCTCCGCGCTCTACGCGTGCCATTCGCATTCGCATAGGGCAATATACATGCATTTTTTTTTTCTTGTTCCGCGTGAAAGACTATCGTAAAGGCGAGAGAGTACCGTATGGTTTTCTCCTGTTACGAAAATTTCGCGCGTCTAAATACCAGAGCGTTGCGTTACGCTACCGATCTTTTCTTATTTCGACTATATCGGGCGGAGTGAGTTCTCTCGAGCGGTTTTACTGGCCGCGAGGTAAACGGAGGCACGTGGAGGGATTGTCGCAAGAAAACGGTGACGTTCTGGCCGCGGGCAGAGGCCCGACGACTGCCTCTGTTACCCGCCCGAATAAAACACAGTGATTACTCCTTGGGTAATCCGAATTTCATTTCAGAGACCGTGTTCGCGTCCGCGTACAAACTTTCGCCGCGTTCATCTCGCAAACCCTCCGTCTAGAACGATCGACGTCGCGTTACCGTTTACGTTCTTTTCTAATTTCTCTTTGTTACCCGATCCGATCGACGCATCGACGTTATTTAGATCGGCTCAGAAGCAAGGCACAGACCTGTCTCTCGGCTCCGTCGTTTCTTCGTTAATCCCTCATGAAAGCACCGTCCTCACATCGAGACGCGCACCAAAAAATTGTTTGTTATTCTCTGTCACACCTGCACCTCGCGATTGCTTCTCTGCCGTGCGACGTTACACGCGTTATTTCGTCGAGAAACTCGTGCGAATTGTTCGCGATCACCGGGTAAAATCGTAGTGTCTCAGCGAGTCGAGGGCGAGACCGTGTCCGGTCCGACCAGAAGACTGTGCGATGGAAGTGGAAAAGTCAGCAGCAGGAGCGTTGTGCTCCGGCCAGCGTCGTCTGGTCGAGCTTTCTACGACCGAGGATAAGGTCGAGGAGGGGGACTTGGACGGGCATAGGCGGCCCCCGCATTGGCGTAGATCCCCTTGAAAAATCGGGCCCCGACCGGGCGAAAGCCTCCCACCTGCGTCGCCACCTGAGAGTGGAATCGGTGTACAGAGTCAATGGTGATCAATTCTGTTCCATCGTTACCTGCCCCCTTTCTGATTTATTTAAATCCCGCGCCACGTTTGAAGCGATTTCGTTTAAAGGATATCAAATAATGTGTCTTGGAGCGAATCGATGGTAAGGGATTAACAACCGCTGCGACACCTTTCAAACTCGTGTATCGAGTCGGAAGGCCATCTCCTTGGACAATGCGTCTTTCCCTTTCTCGAAGCGTCCCACACAAAGGGTAGTCCCGACTCGCAAAGGTCTCGCGACCCCTTCAGGGAATTCTGATCTTCTCGAGACCGAACCCATCATTTTTTAATAAATCCGAGTGAAAGTGAAACGAGCAGGACGAGAACAAAAACCGTAGAATCGAACTTCGTGACAAAAACGTAGGAACTTCGCGAATTTATCGCGCATCGAGAATCACATTCGTAGGTTTCTTTAGAAATAGGAAGTTCGGTTTCCCGTGCGCACTTTCCGATTTCGTAATCGGCATGTGATGAATGAAAAAGTACTTCGTCGGAGTCGACTTTTCAATAAATTACGTTCAGGGTCGCAGTCGTTCGACGCCGAAGAGAGTATTCTAAGCGATTTTTATGGGATCGAGTGGCATGCAATTGACGCGATCAGGTATTTCTCGATTAAAGCGAGGTAAAATGAACAGTGAGAGCGTATTATTGTATCTTTATTCTTTTTATTGAACGTTGGAAGACTCGTCGACGTACAATAGGACGTTCGTTCTTTCTCGAAGCGAAACAGGATCTTGGAAATAAATTGCGGTCCACCGCGAGATCGGCCGGCTCTTCCAAGTTCATTGCTTCCCCTGAGGACGGCGAGTCCTTCCTTTTTTTCTGCTCAAGGCTCCCGTGTCCAGTCTCCCTTTTTTCACGTTCCAAGGGTTTCCATCTGGTTCCCCGGTCGGAGGTCTCGTAAAATTCAATCGAGCCACTGACTCCCGATTAAGAACGGGTATAAATCCTGATACTTACCTCGCCCGTTCTGCCCGTAAACGGGGATCGTCGAGAATTTCCGAACGAGGCGTACACGCGTGGTATTTGCCATCGCAAATATCACGTAGCCGCGGCGTGTGTTGAATCTGTTCGTGGCATGCAAATTTTCATAATCCTCCTCCGCGACGCGTCGAGCTTCCGCGATGATCATGGGAGCGTCTCGATCGTTAGGTAATTTTGTCATTGCGGAACCTGGTAGCGAGGACGCGTCTTTCTCCTCGATCGATCGTTGATGCAACGTCGAAAATACCGACGCCTAGCTGTGACTTTGGCCTTGCCCGGCCGGAAATCACAGTTTCGTAAGCGACCGCATCGAATTTCTATTTCTCTTTGCGTAACACAATCGGAATTTTTCTGGGCACGGCGATTACGCCCGAAGACGTTATTAATGAACGCCGACGGATGCTTTTGCTGAGTTCCACGGTTTTCGTCGATAGAAACAAGCCACGAGGCTCGCATGCAAAATGGATTTGATACGGAAAAGTGTATCGACGTTTGAACGAGAACAGAGAGAGAGAGAATTCGCTTTCTATCGTCCGAGCATGCCAAGAAATCGTCGTTTCCTCTCTCCGTTCGTCCACGCTTCTTTTCGCTAGGATGAACGTCGATCAAAGTAAGACGTGACCGGTCACCGGAGGAGATTTAATGCATCTGATACTTTATTCAAGTGTCTATAACAGCTAGGATCGTTTACTCGGGATGTGCGGTAGAATTTGAACGGATTCTATGGGAACGGGGTGTCTCGGCGGGGGTGTGTTCGGCCGCTGGGCTCGCGGCCTTTCGTTTGTTCAGCGTCCGAGAATACCATGGCGCTCTGTCTCTTTCGCGTTTCACCGCCGGCAAGCTAGGAACTCACGACTCGTTGGACTTGATCACGGTTCTATTAAAAAGATAGTTAATCTCGTCTCTACCGAAGAGATCGTACACTTGACACGGGCGCTTAAACGTTACGGCCAGCGATTAGATCTTGTTCCCGTTTACGTCTCTGTACAGGTCGTCGTTGATGCCGTACAGTCGCGGCGAGTCGTTGCAGTCCACCTGAGACAAAATCGAATCGATGATTTAGCCATGAGTCCCAAGTCGATGGGGACCATCAATTTTACCTTGAACCACCAATCACAGACGCGCGCCGATTGGCTGAAGACGGTGCCGTTTGGACAGAGGAAGCTGAACATGCGCCCGTTTGGCAGACACCAGTGCCAGACCTAAAAAATCATTCGAGTCCTTCTCCTTTCTTTCTTTTTTTTTTTTACAAGGATGAACGTTCGTAACTTGAACTTGCCTGACATCTGGCTTCAGGATCGGCGTAGTAACCAGGTAACTTGCCGCCGCAGGTAAACGTGAGACCGAAAGGCACCGAGTCGTAGATCGGGTAGTCCACGCCAGGCGTGTAACCGTCCACTTGCTGAAATTTGTGTCAGAACGACGTTGTTGGTAAACGCGCGAGCAGTTTAATTAACGTTAATTACCGCGAGGCTACAAATTGTAACGAGATGTGAAACCTCCGCTCGGAAAGTGGATTACCGCGTGTATATTCGTACATAGGATAATCGAGTCGCTGCTGGTTATTTCAATTGAAGTAAGTCGCCGCGCTAATTACACCGCGGAATACAAAGGGGGAAACACGCGAAAGTGGCAATTATGAAAAGCGTTATTTGCATCGCGAGCCACTCTGTCGAAATCGTCGGGCTTTCGTCATGTATCATCGTTCACAATGGAACGTGGACCGAGCGAGGATGCACGCGTAAATCGCGTTTCCTTTCCGTGGCTTATCGCGATGTAAACCTCGTTCGTTGATGAATCGTTCGGCGCCCCAATATCGCTCGGAACGGGGTTGACACGAACGCGTTCTCGGCGAAACGTTGAACGAATTCAACGAGTTTGGCGCATGAATCAGAGATCAGGGAGTCAACGATCCGTAGACAGAATCGAAAAGGGTATCTCGCGGCCGAATCTTCTTCGCCGTAGGTCGAGATGAGGAGGAAAAAAGATAGAGTCGTTGCGACACTGGCGGATCGGAGCCAGTCCAGTGCGTGTGTCCGCGGCGGCGATTCTCTGACCGGAAGACGGGTTACATTGTTTCCCGCGAACGGATGCGCATCTCCGTGCCTTTGTATTCGATCAGCCGTCCACTACTTGAACGCGCGCGACCGCAAAACGTTGCCCCCATCCGCTGGACGCGACGCCGCCCGCGTCGACCGATTCCAATGCCTGGCAAGGAGGGTGCGTCGGCGTTTTCCTCGGAGATCGTTTATTCACTTCGGGAACCGATATTATTTCTTTCATTCGTGTCTTCTCTATTTTCTGTTCACGATATATGGACGTCGGAGAACGGTTTCGTCGAAGAGTATTAAGAAAGAGTCGCGTACCGTGAATGTTAACCGGATAACGATCGACGAGATTAATTAATCATTTCTCTCTGACCGGCGCGGCGGCATTGAAAATTCGGTCCCCTTCCGTTTCGATTCGATCACCGCTTCCGGTGGAAATGTACATATGTAGATTGCCGCGGCTCGGTGCTTGCAGATGCGTTCATACGCAATAACGTCGATCCTACTTGTATTTCTAAAAATAATTTTTCGAAAAGCGTCTCGCGCGAACGTACCCGCGAGCTTCTGATTCCCGTGAATCCCCTTTATATTCTTCGATTGCGCAATTTGCACTGATGGACGTGACACAATCGAGGGAAAACGCGGAAACCCGTGAGCCACCGCGCGACTTTGCCTGGCTAAGCGTGAGGGTTCGCGCAATACGCACATGGGTTAATTAATGAATTACTTAACGCAGTCACCAGGAGAAGATGACGCGAGGAGATACCGACCTCCCTCTGTCATTGTTGCACGTGGGAAAACGCGGCATATAATAATTTCACGGCTTAATTTGGCTCTGGTTTCGCAAAAGGGACGATAATCGACGCAGCAGTTAAAATTGGTCTTTGAATAAATAGAATTCGCGACACTTACCGCCATCGCTTGGTACAGCAAAATCGCACTGAACAGCAGGAGTGCGCAGAAAATTTGGTACCGCGAAATCATCTAAAAGAACCAAACGAGATCACAGCTTTGGCAAAAGCCGTAAAGATTTTTCGGAGATCAGAGCCTCGTGAATTTTTCTCTTCTTACCTTTTCGTGAAAGATCGGTTTAATCCGCAGTATCCTTCCGCGTGGTGTTCATTTATTCTCAGGATGATTTTTGTATCTTGGCACAGAACGCACTCACCACCTACCTGGACCTGCTCGCGTGCGAGTTTTTCGGTTCTCCACGGTGTTACGGGCGAAGTTTCTTTCTCGATGGATGCGACCACGCGGTGGTGGTATATATATGGGTTTAGAGATCGGCCAGAAACAAAAGGGGGGGAAGTTTCTTGAGAGCCCCTCTTTCCCGGGGCTCCCACACCTGGCGGAGACGAACACCGGGGAAAGAGAAGATCCCGGGGAGGTAGGGGGCGGGATCCACCACGCTCCTGCAGATTCCTCTCTTACGCAATATCCCCGCGTCGCGTTCTTACACCCGTGAAAACGTAACGGCTCCGCGTCCATTCGCGGGGTCGTGATTTCTGTCCCCCACGAATTCTCTTTATTTCGTTCTACCGACAGAGCCACCCTACCCTTACTTCGTATTAATTTAATCGGAGCGGCATCTCGGTTGACCCAGTGCTCCCGTTGTTTCCTCATCAGGAATATCAAATGTACTTTGCACAACGTCTGTGCTTTTACAACCGTGAAAACGATCGCGTTACAAGGACCAAGTGGAAACTTTGGCTATTTCGAGGCAACATCCTGTTCCATCCGAAGGTTTCGGTTAACTGTGTGTCGGTTAGAATATTCCTTTCACAGATTCCGTCCGATTAATTGTACTTTGTCTATTTTCCTTTCCTCTTCTTCCTCGGGAAGACGCTCGATCCGATCGATCAGATTACGGCACTTCTCGTGGGATTCGAACAGGAATCGTATTCTTTTGTGCACAGAGTGAGAATAATCGACGCAGGGATACATTTAATAAAGAAAGCAGTGTGGCAATAGTTTTGAAACCGCTGAACGTCGCTCAGCGAAACAGAGGAGGAGATCGTCTCGGGAAACGGGAAGTCCTTCCGATCGAAATCGATAGGAGCGGAGGAAATCGCACGATCAGATCGTTCATTTGCATGCATGTTGTTTGTTTCGTCTTGCTCTCAGGCAGCCCCTTAATCTTTGAGGCGCGTTTCGTGCCAATTAACGTTGGCCTAATTGCTGGCCGCGGGCTCTTCCAGATTGACATGTAAATTCCATGGAATTAGCCGTCGCGTTTACTTCGTGCCGTGAATTAGATAACGAACCTCCTCACGCGGTCACCTCTCAACATTTTTATCCGTCGCCCGGTTTCTTAATGCCACGCTCAGAAATAACCAAGTTTCTTTTGTGTCTCAAACGATTTAATTATAATAGAAATTGGATTGCGAGATCTGCGCAACGATTCGTGGGAAGGTCTTTCTCGACCTCGAGAGGAAATTTCGTTGACAGAGAGGAGGACTCGCGTCGCGAGAGATTCGTTATTAGGAAAACTGCGGCCTCCCACTGGTTAACGGGTATCGGGATGCGAGGTTCGATCGAAGTTTCGAACATGTACGTACGTATGCAGAGCTTATCGTGCGGTGTATCATAATGTCCCCGTTTCGAATGTTACGGTGTAAAAGCGCGGGTGTTGTTATGCGTTATTGCGAAGAGAATGGACGAACGTCCTCTCTTTCTCTCTCGTCTTCTCTCCTTCAGGAAGGCGATCAGAAGGAGACCATTCGTTTTAATGGACACTTTCGTCAGATATGGTTTTACCTAGACTCGCCGAATCTTCACACGCTTCAGCCGCCATAAGCTTTCGCAATTTCATAACTAGCCGACTTCCGAGCATCTTTCCTGTCGTCGACAAAAGCCTGCCACGAAAGTCTTTCTCACGTTCCAACCACTGTTCGTTCCCGATTAAATATTTAATAATACATCAGCTGAATCGTCTCACCGAGCCTTTGAGCAATCCTGCAGATCTACTGAAAATCCTGTGAAACGGTGACAGCATCGCGCATTTTCCAATTGCAAATACCCTTATCGGCTCCTTTTCCACGTCCGCCGATTCGCCAATTATTTTAATTGATATCTCGATTTTTATCCGCATCTACTATATCCGTGCGCGTGCACACAATCGAAGTTTCCCTATCTTCTTTACGTAACGCCTTCGCCGGATTTTATTCTATCCACAGTTACGTAAACTATGTAACATCAATTAGAACGAATCCTTCTTACCATTTACACCGTGACCGTTCCCAAACGTTTTATCAAAAAACGGGCAATCAATCGTCGTCGACGGACCGCTATCTCTGATCTCATCGTCAGGCGTTCCGATATCAAACAATGCAATTATTGAATATCAGTTTTAATAATGTAAGTCGTAAATCGATTCGAATCCTTCTTACCAGTCACACTGTGATTTACACATTTAACAAACGTTTTATCGAAAAACGGGCAAATCGTGTCGATCGTTGATAAACCGGTATCTCCAATCTGTATTATTCCGATATTACACAATGCAATTATTGAACATCAGTTTCATTGTGAGTCACAGATTGATTCTATATCTTGTACGCCGTAGAATCTGGAAAAATTATTAAAAGTCTCATGGGTCGGTTTATCAGGGAGATAAACGTTTGCACTTAGCGGTGCGCGTCGTCGTCGTGGCACGGGAGGCTTACGTTTGCGGCTCGCGTCGCGTCGCGTTTTATCAGTCGGAGCGAGTCGAAGCCGAGCCGTGGCTGTCCCAGATTTTCAGTCGCGCGTACACACGCGACAGAGTGCATAGTACTGCGTGTCGCGGATCCTAGATCATCCGATCCCATCCTCAGAACGGTTTCGCGGTCGATCGAGCGCGGATCGCCACGATCCATGAATCGAGATCCTCGGCCGTGTTCCGAGGGAACCTCAGTTCAGTGAAACGTGTCTCTCCAGCGATGTCAATGGTAGATCGTGCGAGAATCGTCGAGGTAACAGATCTCTGGTATTCGTATTAGTCCAATAATTAGTTCGTTTCAATTGAGCGTATCTCCTGGATCGCTCGATAAGTCGAAACGCATATTGTGCATGAAATATGTTTACTGTTTCTATCAATTGGCCGATGACGAAGCCGTTCGTCGAACGAAGTAATCGTTTATCAAGATCACTAATCTCCGTTATCATTACAGTGTTTGCCAGAGATAATAACGACTCTCGACATTTTTAAACCTGCGATTCACCGTCCGTCGTAATACTGTTTTTTTGAACATAGGAAGATCGCGTTGTGTTCGCTTCCGCGTGTTCGGTATCGGTTGAATCGTGAGAAAATGTGCGAGGGAACTGAGGATCGAGTCGTTACTCCGTCTGTTCTGTCCCGAACGTGTGTATTCGTTAATTGATACGCAGTATCGGTTAGCAGGTAATTAAAGCGAAGGGAGCGAAGATCGTTGCGATTTAACGAGAGTAAACGGCGCGGTTCGAATTCCAACGGCGACGCGGAGCCGTTGCAGTCGGTTCGTGACACGGGTATAATAGCTTCCGGTCAGACACTTCCGCTGTCGCGGTTACCCTCCCGTGAGCTCGAAACGAAAAGGGAATACGGTCTCGTTCTCGAGCGCTTCGACCAACGACCTTCCGTCGTCGTCGACGTTCGCATATTTTCTTCGACTCGGATTCGCGAAGTTCGGCATAACGGCAATCTCGGAAAACCGTAATAACGATCGGGCGACTCTGCCCGGCGTAGCTCGATTTCGTTCAGAAACGATACCGTTAATACACTCTCTCTTCTCTTTGCATAGACGTTCCGTAATTATTCAATAAATTCGCGCGCGGCGCATACCTCGCATACCGGCCGGTCGGACGAGTTCCTCGAGAGCGGCACACCCGGTGGACACGCGTGCTAACGACCGTCGTACGCGGGTGCAATTGGACCACAGGTGTACGACACGTACGCGGTGTCGAGAAATGACTTCGTCTCGTAAAGTCGTAAATCTAATCATAAATCGCAGTTCATAAAGTCTATGAAATATTTTATGTGCAGGGAGTAGGTATCGTTTTCAGCGATTCATCCATTTTTATCAATGGAAAGCGCGTTATCGGGTTTCGCGGGAAGAGTAAAATTTCACGAATGTCGTTCCGTCTCGGTTGGCTGGGTCCGACCTTCGTTCTTGAATTTCTACGCGTCTAACCGGCGCGCGTTTTCGAAACGGTGCGCTCGAACAACGCACCTGACCAGCAGACGGAATACATACGTTAACGAGTCCCTTTTCACCTGACCGTCGGGTCACCTGACTCATTTCCTGTCTTCGTCGCTGCCCCCCCCCCCGTCCGTGTTTCCCCGATTGGGATCGCGCTCACGCGGCGGAGCATCCGTTTCGTTCGATTAAATCTGTGACCGCGAACAAAAACCCAAATAGAGCAGGTGAAACCGAGCCCGAGTTCGTTACGCGGGAAGCTGGTGCACGGCCGCGTTCGCGAGTTCTCTCCGTATTTATTTGCGAACACGCGAACGAGGAACGGAGCGCAAGGTGCAACACGTGCCGCGCGACAGCTGGTTTCCGGTTCGAGGCCTTGAGAACGTTTTTCATTTCTCGCTTGAACGCGTTTCGTAATGTCTATAATAACTTCGCCAGGGGGTGATTCCACCCCGACTGTTCGTCGATCAGAAATCGTCTTAAAACCGGTCGAAGGAGTTTTCATTTGAAGACTGTTGTTCTTTGACGAAACAGGTGTCGATTCAGGAGATCTAGAATAGGAATCGCGATGGACAACGAGGACTTCGGTTTTACAAAAAGGGCAGACAATGTTCTGAGGAACGTTGACAACGACGTAAACGGTTCTAAAGACACGGGGAGAGGTGATGATTCTTCGCCGGGCAAAGATAATTCGGGGAGCAAGGTGCCGTCGTATTTAGAAATAAAAAAAACTCGATTTGCGATCGGGGTGAGAGAGAATCTGTTTGAATTTGTCAGGAGAGGGTCGATGGTAGTGATAGATCGACGGTGACGACAGCGCCGTTATCCGGGGCGAGCGATGCCGGAAACGCCGTCCCTGGACGGGCACCGACCGCCTCTTCGTCCTCTCCGGCTTCCTCAGTCGCTTCTAACCCGCCGAACATACCGAACGTGGTCGAGTATCACCTGAAAGTGAAGCCCGGGCAAACCCAGAGGGTCATCAGAGTCGACGATACCGACGTGAGTACGTTAAGTCGTCTTCCGTCGAGATAAGAAGCAATTTCAAGAAACTCGATAAAAAAGTCGATTTTTGAAAACTCCTGATTGATCTAATTCGCGATTATTGTCCGACGATAAAATCCAATTGACCGGTGAACAGGAAGATTAAACGTCCTTCACGTTAAATCTTTTTTCCATAGAAGAAACAAGAGGTCGAAGAGATGAAGAAAGAGAAGAGTCCAACGCCTGCCAGTGAGAAAAAGAAGGACCTTGTGTCAAAATTGTCTCGTCTGACCATCGACAACAACGTCTTCGAAGGTTCCACTGATCTCCCTCAAGTGTTTCAGGTACATCGATGTTTAAAGCTTCGATCCTCCGTTCGAAGTTCCTCCTCTTTTCAATCCTCGATCCAGCCGATCCTTTTGCACTTGCCTGTACTCTTCCGGAGCGTTACGTCGGCCCAAGGTCCCAACTTAGGCTTAATTATTACCTGGCCGCGTGGGAGAAACTGAAGGGGGACCCCTGTTTCAGGTGAAATATCTCGGCTCTCATGATGCCAGGGGCCTCTGGGGCATCAAGCACACGAGGAGGCCGGTCGATAACATGGTGGCTGCGGCGAAGGCCTTACCGACCAACACGATGCTGCCTCTCATCAAGCTGGTCGTCTCCCAGGAAGGCGTGGTCCTGCTGCCCGTCGAGAAGAAAAAGCAGGACCCGAACTTCGCCAGGATGTATGCGATCGAAACGATCTCGTACGGCGTGCAAGATCTCATCTACACCCGGGTGTTCTCCATGATCGTCGTAAGGGAAACGGAGAACTTCCGGAGGGTTTCGCCCTTCGAATGCCACGGCTTCGTGTGCGAGTCGAAGCATCACGCGAGGCAGCTGACTTACGCCTTGGCCACGGCTTTTGAAATTTATTCGAGGACCGTGAAGGCTCAGGACAAGATGGCCGAGATGGCCGGGAAAGCCGCGAAAAACAGATTCGCGATAGATCTCAGGAGCCCCGAGGAGATCGAAGCCGATTTAGCTACTGATTCCGAGGCCTGACGCATAAGCGGTGTAACGAGTCCCAAGCCACCGGGTCCCGGTTCCGGAAAAATCTCGGGTTCGCCCGAGATTTACCGTTTAAATTTACCTGTTGTTCGTTAAACCTGAGGATCTCATGGGCGGATTACGTAGTGTGCAAGGACGATACAGGGTACAGTCGAAGATTAATATAATAGCTGTAGATTTAAGACGATACGAATAGTAAACCCTATTTTTTTTATAACCGTTGTCTTCGGCACGATGGAAGACCAGTGGAGTCAATTCTATCTTCTCTCCTGAAGTGAATTTAAGTTTGTGTGAGCGAGAAAGTTGGTTATCGTTATTTTATCGGAATCGAGGGAATAGGATTCGCCTATCCACGATACAATGGCTAGTTGTCCAAAGATACCGAATAGACGAGGAGCCGAAGACCGAATTTCGGCGACTCATGCAATTTCATATCAACAGAATTTTAAAAAGAGATTGGATTTATTTCTAGCCGCTTTGCATGTGTACGTGTGTGTTTTTTTTATCTCCATACTTCCCCCTGAACGTAGAGAATTAGTCACTTAATTTATTGTCGACTTATCGTTAAGTCACCGAACCAATATCGACACATATCAATCATGTAAATAAACGATCAAGCTTCCTCAGCACCGTAACGATTACTTCGTTTAGTAGTTAGGTTTGTTAAATTAGCTCGCTGCACCCTCATATTTCTGTTCTAGGCACGGGACATTTGTGTAACTCCTGTCGATACTTAAAAATTAGCAGTATTAAGAACAATTGTATCGGTAACGTGTATAATAAATTCTATCTTTCCTTTATTACACTTCTGATCCGACTTACAGTTTTCGCAACGCAGGTAACACTGATACAATTCGTTAAATATTCGTACATTAAATAATATTATTTCTTAGAGTCCACACACACGATCGTTCACAGAAGATCACTGATTCCTCGCCGATCTCCTCCGGTTCGAAATCCTAGACGTCCTGCTCGGAGGTCTGCTGGAGATCGGTTCCACGTCCGATTCCTTCGTCGACTGTTCCATTTCGCTCTCCTCTTCAATTTCCTTTCCGATAGCCTCGTTCAGGTCGTAAAATTTCTCCGATTCTTCGCACGGTATAGAGTTCTCCGTTTTCGTGCAAACGAACGTAGCCTGCACCGTCTCGTCGTTAGAAACGAAGAAAGAATCGATCTGATGGACGACTCACCTGATTGAACACGGTCTCGGCGGGACAGATGAAGCTCCACCGGATGGAGCCCCTAGCCTGCGGCATGCAGACGTGGAAAATCTGGCAGTCGTTCTCCATGTCCGCGTAGTATCCATAAATTCTTTCCTGGCAGGAGAAACTGTCCACGATGTTCTCCCTGATCAAAGTCGCGTTGTCTGGAAGCGTCAAACCGGCCGTCTTGTTCTGAAAATGTTTCTTTTATGAAAATACGGTCTTCTCTTCGTGTAGTGCGCGTTAACGAACCCTCAATTCCACGACGGGCCTCTTAGCCCTTTGCTGCTGAGGCAGCCCATAGACGATCGCGATGGCAACTAATAAAATGAATAGATGAGCTTGTCGCGACATGATACTCGGGTTTCGAGTTTTGTCTTCGGAGATCCTGAGAGAACTGATGATTCGACCCGTAGAAGGGTGTTATATAGCGACGTGCGCGTAAAGATCTTGAATATTGTATGAATGGCCGATTCTCGGTAGACAGAAATTAGTAAGTTCATCACGTTTGGACTGCCAATGACCATCCAGCAGACGTCCACATCATCCTCGAAGGCCCCGATGCAAATCGTACCTGTTGATGTGACGACTGATAGGATCCACCGCGAATTCCCATGCCTCACGAAATTCATGACGCTCATTCAGAGCTGTCGTCGATCGCTCGATTTCATTTGACGATTATTACCATTCGGATAAAAGATTCATAATGCAGGTGTTTATTGGTATTAGATTTCTGTGACGATTTCATCTGCTCGTAACTCGAGCAGTCCACTTGGTTCAGTAGACGTCAGGCGGAGATATTTATCTCTTTGCTCGACTCGAACAAAGGAGCATTAAAATGCCCTTTGGGGTATCGCGGAGGGAACGATTCCTAAAAGGAATTACCAGGCTTTATGAATATCCTGGGGACGTGCGAAGGCTTGAAGGACGCGATGCAAATGCGCCGGGATGAAATAATGCGAGGCGAATCGAATTTCGTCGGCTGATTAAGAAAAGTTGTACGTAGCGCGGGCCGCGAACAAAATTTCTATATAGGAAACCGCCGGAAGGATCATCCCATCACGAATTTCGAATGATTCCGATGCTACGCATGGTGGTGCTTTGGCCGCGGTCCAATCGCACGGAAAGAGGTTCCCAGGACCGTCGAGGCTCTTTTAAGGCCGAGCGCCGGTCACTCATATTCGGGGTTTGAATACTTAATTCCATGGGGAGCGCGATTACGAAACCCCATGCGCTCGCTGGTCGTCGACCATAGCCGAGCCGTTCGGTGACTCGTTTCTGTCACGTCTGCCACCTGTTCAGCAATTTCTCCAAGCCGGTCTACTGGTATTGAGGGGTCATAATTATAGACAGGGTCATTATTAAAATAGTTTACTGCTTGTACATTGTTCATGGGCGTTGAACGATGAATTAACAAGATTTGGCAGATGAGGAGCGTGATAGATAACAGGTACGCAAAGTGGACTTTGGTACGTAAACGGGATCTTAACTTAATAAATGAGGGAGACGATTTAACATAAATAAAAATAAATAATTTAACATAAATATGAACTCAGACTATCCATCGGGTTTCATCGAACTCGCTTAACGAATGTCTAAACCTGAGGGTAGAGAAAACATACACGACGACGCGGCGACGCGATCGCGTCGCGAGTCTTTGCGGTTCTCTAGGAGCTTTGCGGGGCGTAGGCGGAGTAGGCGAGATCTTGAGGAGAGTCGTTGCTGGACCGTCCCCAGTAACCGGAATCGTGATCATCGTGGTCGTAGTGGTGCTGGTGCTGAGCGTGTTCGTAGTAAATGACTTTGGATGGTGACTTTTTCAGGTCGATCCAGAACCTGGCGGCGTTGAGGATCAAGGTGATAACGGCGATCACGAAGAACTTCACTTGGAAGTGCGTCGAGATCAGCTGGAGCAGCAGGCTGATCTTGGCTTTGAACAGCATGGCCAGACCGAGGAGCTTCTGCAGATGCTTCTTCTTCCTCTTTCCAATCTTCTTTCCACGTCCCTCCTCTGCAACAAAACGAGTGGGTTATTGCGATCCTGAAACCATTACTTAATTCGTTTCAATTGGTTCGTTCACGGTGTAGAGTAAGAGTGCGGATTCTACACTTTCGCTAGTTTCCATCTTCTACTATCGAGATCCTTTAGGATGTTTGTGGAATCGTTTCTCGGTATGATTAAAGTTACGTGCTCGAGATCAACGAGCCCAGTGACCCAGAAACTTTTGCTGGTCACGTTGACTTTCTCGCGGGGTTTTAGGACGAAAATATTTACGTTGAGCGAAAGCCAGGGCAATGATGGTCGTTCATAAATATGTAAATGAACATTTCTTGAATTAACGAGATCTGCATAGCATTGATCCTCCGCGTATTTGATTCGCCCGTAAAGTCGTACAAATTCTCAGTCTAGTTATAGCTCATTCAATAACCGGAAGATTGGCCTGATCGTCAAATTGTTCAATTTTCTGGCTACGTTTTGCTCGAAAAGATAACGATGACAATGGGGTGGAGTACCGTTAGAGTAAATTTGCTTGTCATTAAACGCGTGCAAACCGAAAGACAAGAGTCGGTGACGTATCGGATGTTGAATCGTCGTTGACCTAAAGACACGTATTCGCTCGTCGTCGTCTGTTCGAGCGTCTAATGAGTAATTATAGGTTCGTTCGCCTCTATGTCCAAAGCCAATGAACCAGAACGATAAGGTCTAGGTGGTAATTGTACACGTGCCGTGTGCGATCATGTTTTTCTATCTTTCATTCATAAACTCCGATCACGTGGCGAGTCAGAATTATGAATCGAACAAAAGTTAATCAAAGAAAATCTCAAGTATTTTAATTGTCGATCCTTCTTTCGGAGAAAGTCATCGATGATTTCGTCGAAGTCTCACCTTGCTCAGTTTCCGCGGGTTGTTCAGGGTGTTGAACGTCGTCGATGAGTTCGGCCACGAAATTTCCAGCCTGTTCGATGACCGAGCTCATGGGAGTCTCGCTGGTCCTCCCTGTCACCTGCACCTCGATCTGATCGATGTCTCTGGCCAGTCTCGATGTCAGACATCCCAAGGTATCGTCGTCCGCGATGCAGTTCAGTAAACTCTCGTTGTCTTCTTTGACGGTCTCACCTTTCGCGCAGAGGGCAAGGCCCAGAATCAGGGAGGCGATCACTGTTATCCTCATTTCGTATGTTCTCGAGATTCGGCACTGGCACACTACGCGAGATCACAGGTACTACTATCCGACCTTCACCCTGTCTAAGTCTTTTCCTTCCTCGGCTCGGTCGACCTTCCGCTTTTTATATCCTTGGACCGCGTGTCACGGGCACAAAGTGGTCGATGATCGCGTCTAGGTCGAACATATATGAGACTGTAACCCCTTCCTTCTGGACTTCCGCCAATCGTGTCGGTACTGTTTCGAGTCAGACCCCGGCCGGCATCTCCCCACGCGTGCCCGTTATCGTGGCTACGCATACTTTACTGAAATCAAGCCGCGCGTCTCCTTAAGGAATTCTGGCCACCTCGTGGGGTCGAGGTGCTACCGTGAATCGGAAAAGAATTTTCGAGGAGAGAAGAGCCACGATTTATTGCTCGGACGTATCAATGAATTTTTTAATAGACTCGCCTCCTTACATCCGCCGAATCACCCGATCTCCCATTGCACGTTCGATCAAATCGCAATTGGATCAGATTCGAAACTCGCTTCCCGGTGCAAATGAATTTTTTATGCCGCGTCAGACGTGAGACTCCCCCGTTGCTGAAAAAAAACCGTAATGGATTCAGGATCTCGCGTACACTTGGCACGCGCATGAGTCACGTACGCGCGTGGACCGGGCACGAAAGAAATTCCGCTCGAACTGCGCCGGGATGCTAATACAACCTAATTCCGGCGATCTTTTATCGTTATTTAAAGAATTGAGAGACACGAAATCGTAGTGAAATCGTTGGCTTTCGAAACAGCGCGCATTTTATTATGACTCCCCATCCGACGCGCCGTTTTTTAATTTTCCTTCGTAAACCAACGATCACGCGGGAACCGTCCGAGTAAACGAAGTAAACGCCGTAAACGCCGTAAACGCCGCGTGTCAAAACAGTTTGCAAATTATCCTCTTCTCATGCAAAGGAGTTCACGCTTGTCACAACATCGTTTCGCGTTGATCAGTTATTAACGAAGAAACTAGGAAGAAAGCATCCCCGATTGGTTTTACACTCTTTGTTAAAACGACAGCAGTCGTATTCTTTTATTACCGTACAGATACAAAGTCATAAACACTGTTTTTAACGAGTTCTTGGAGAATCATGAATGCTTTCGAACGTCGATTAACGCGTATCGATGAGATACACAAAAGTATAGAGGGACCGAACACTGAACGGACTTCCGCAACGCAATTAAACTCGTAACCCGGTGGCGCGGATCTGAATAAAAACGGAATGCTCTCACGTAAAAGGGCGACGTACGTACGGAGGGATTAGTCCGGGTTCGTTGATTTGCCACGTACATACGCGAGGTGCATCGTGCATTTTGTAGTTTAGAAAACGGTATAGACCGTCCTATTCGATTGGAGGTGTCGATACAGGATCGATGACGGCAGCATACTAACTATTAACTATCGTGGAAGGTGGGTTTCTGGCACGTATACGCACCGCGAATATCGAGGCCTTGAAACAAAGTAATTCGACATTGACAGGACTTTCGTTACGTATGCCACTTCGCCAATTGTTCAATTAGGACTCTTCCGTTAGAGGAATGCAATTTCGGTTCGTTCGTCGATTAAATCATGGAAGTGTAAATTTCGCACTTTGATATTCTTGTTAAGAATCTTTAATTGTAATTACAATGGAACGTTTTATAGATTACTAGTTTCGTGATGTCTAAATTGGGAATTAGAGACTTGAAAGTGATCTCGGATGAAGCCGATGGGCATCGTATTAATTTCGATTTCGACGTTGAATTTGAGCGTCAGAAAAAAGGGAAAACCGGTACATGGAAGTCCGAGTTTGATCGCTTCAGAATCTGGACCGAAATGCCGTTACGCGAGGTCCGAAGTAGGTCACTGCTGAATATCTCGTTATTGGTCACTCGTTTCTCTTTGGTCGACTTTAACGTTTTATTACGTTCGATTACGTGGAATACTCGTAATACTATTCGTTCCCGTGTAGTTTTGCCCAAACGTTACAATTGCAATCGCCGCGTGTATCACAGGTAGTCGAAATTCGTTAAGGTAATCGATTATGGTTCGGTATGGTGAGGACGTAGAAGAACGCTGTTTCATTCATCTTCCCACCCAGCCTTCGTCGTCATCTTCGGGCTCGTGATAAGTATCGTAGTAGTGATTGTAGTGATATTCGGGTTTATGGACCAGCACCACTTCCGACTTCTGAGAATTCTTCAGTAAGTTGAACAACAGCACAGCTATAGCAAGTTTCCCTACGAAAATGCTTCGGAGTAGGCTCAATTTTATCGAGGCGAGAGCGCTCGGCAAGAGCATCAACTGAAAAATATCGGGAATTAAAACTCCAACATTCGACTTTTATTCCAATGTGTAATTAAAATGCGAACCTGCATAAACATAGGAGCCATCATCATCGCCATTCCAAATCTTTTCATGAGATCGCTCATATTTTGGAACCTCAAACGACCCATGCCTCGTTCCTCTGATTCGTGTCCTTAGGATATCGTCATTATATTTTTTATATTGTTCACCAATTTTTTATTATCATTACTTACCGGTCACAAGAGAGGACAGCTTCAATTTGACGCTCGCCTCGTCGTTTCCGATGTACAACGCGACACTTTTAGAAACGTCTATTCGTAAAGTATCGTTCGAATCTCCGGCGTGGACGATATTTACGAGAACAGTCGCGAAGCACAGGCACCGAAATATTGTTCCAACTCCATTCATGGCTACGCTTAGAAAGCCGGCACTTAAACGGAAACGCGAACTCGTTAACTCTTCGATTATGACGGCGACTCTAATTATTGTTTCCCCTCATAGTGGCATCGTTATGTTACTCATTCGATTTCGATTGCACGTTTTAATATCGTTCACCGTTACTTAATGAGCTACTGTACTATGTAATTCGTCCATTCCACTTCTGACCCCGAGTGTCAAGCTACTTCCGTTCTTCCCATTTTCTTGCACGGTGGACGACGACAGCTTCCTTTGATCGATATCTATTTCGTAACCCGAGCCGAGAGCCGTCAGGTTCGCGTTAGATCGTCAAGAATACTGGGTGATTTCGTTCTAAGCGAAGAATAGATATTTCGCTTTTTGCGCTCACCCCACTAGTGGAAACTGGGTCTCCGAGATGCGGTCTTATATCATCAGCACGCACGCTGGGATTCGCGTGAGTTCGTCAGACCTTGACACGCGGAAAATTCAATTTCGTTCCCCGGGCTTGAAATAAATCCAAATACACAGAGGAGAAGTCGAGCATCGACAGTAATTCGACTTAAACGATTTAATAGATACGTTCTAGAGATACATAATTCGACGGAAGGATAGGACGCAGGCTCCTTACAAAATAAATTACAGAGTTATTACTAGAATGAGGTAATCGTGAGGTTGCTGCTTAAACGTAACGGTTAATCAATTTTGGCTTCACAATTTGGTCGATTGCGCAACGGTCCGCGGTGCAACGTCGAGATGAGATACCAGCTTTATATCTCTGAATACTATGAGCGTTGCTGAAGCCACAGCTTTCGATATTTACTTTGGTACACGGGATCGTTGCGAACGAAAATCGCAAATCGATCGCGTTCTGCTTCCCTCCAAAGGATTGTATCGTCGTCTTGTTCGACGACATATCGTTCCCCTTAAACCAAACCTACAGTTAATAGGATCGGAATCTATACGAAATCCGTGTGTTGTACGATTCACCGATACAGAATCGAGCGTGTAATATAATAATATAATAATCTAGATTGTGGAATCGATCGAATTGAAGTTGAACGTGGTTTGGCGTAAGGGGAACGACGCAGCCTAGTTCCGATTGTGGTCGCCGAGGGATCGGTTCCCGAGAACAGGCAGGACTCGTTCTAGACGAGTCGTATTCATCCTCGATAGTAGTAGTGATCGTCGTCTTCTGGACCACTGTGCATCCAAGCATTGTACGCCTGTGCATGAGCAGAGGGCATGCCGTTGTGGACGTGCACGTGGATAGGTTGGGCCTGTTGCTGCGGCCCATTGTGCTGCCAGCCGGTGTTAAACTTGGCCATTATCGTGCTCACCTTAAGCATCAGTAGAATGGCACCTGCAACCAAGCATTCAGATTTTTTTTACGGTCCGCGGTGAAACTTCCATCGTGCAAGAATTCGACTCGGGGGGTTCCTCGGGAAATGGGTCAGTGTCTCCCGATTTCGAATGCTAGTCACGCGCCATCGAAACCGGACCGTTACCTATCCGTACGGGCGATACCGAATAATGCTTACCAATGAGCAGTCCCTTCAACGAAATCACTGTCAACACTATTAACAGCGTCATCATGACTCCCATTTTGTACATCATCGGCATCAGCATCAATTGTAGCCGCTTCACGCCGAAGGTTCGACCCTGTCCGCTCGTCGTTCCTAAATTATTCAACATTCAAATAATCATTAGCAGATCATAGATCTTACATGGACTCGTGAAAATCGTCGATCTGATCATATGTAGCTAGGTACTCACGTTGTGCATCGTTCCCGACGAACAGATTGTTGAGGAATCTTCCAAGTTCGAAGACGGCGCGATCCAGGCTCGGGGCCTTTGCGACGGACGACAATTTGGTCGGTTCATCGCGTCCAGGTCGACCTTGGTCATCGATCGTAGCGAGATCACCACCACCACCACCGACTAGGACACTCTCAGTTATCGCGGTTTTTGGAAAAGTAGCCGTGAGCAACGCGCAGCACGCGAGTGTCCAACCAATCGGCCGCATCATTGAACCGGTTATGATCACGTGATCCTCATCGACGGACCGGGGATCGGATCCCAATCCGGTAAGAGAGTTCTCCCGCGAACCTCGCAGGTTCCTCGGCTCTTCTTCGTCGCCTCTTGGAACTCTCGGTACCACGAATTTCTACCGCAGAGCGTGTTAATCGAACTCGCGCGAGCGTATGATTCGGACGAGCGGGCACGGCGCCGTTCGAACTCGAAGAAGGAAGGAACGCGTGTGCGCGGTGGGTCTGCGCGAACGCTCTACGAATTTCCTCTCTTCTTCGGCGCGGTTCAATTTCGTCAACGTGCCCCGCCGCCGCCGCTCCGTACTTATCAGTTTCGGGTTTTATTAGAAGCTCCGCACAGCGCGCGATCCACCGCTCGTCGCGTTTATCACGCCCCGATCCTTTCATACTGCTGCGCACGAGTCCCGTATGATCCTTCGCTCGAAACGGAGGAACGGTAGCTGAAAACCGAGGCGAAAGGTTTTCAGCACCTCACTCGCGCATTCTTCGCCGGTCTGTAAGTTCCTGACAGAAACTTTTTGCTCAGGGTACGAAGCGAGTCCTTTTACGTCAGAGGTTTTTCGTGCACCGAACGTGCGCCATGTCCCACTTTCTATAGATACTAATGTCACGGTCACTGTCCCGCAATCATCCGTGTACATTCCTCGGCTCGAGTAGGACTGCTAGCTACTTGACCGTGGAAACGTGTCGTTAGACGGCCCCGGTGTCAGCGACATCGTACGTCGATCCACTTTGGCAAAAACCTTTCATCATGTCTCGCCTCTCCTCTATCTCGATACGTCTTAATTTTGTGTACGATCACGCGTTTACAGCGTATCTCGCAATCTTTGTAGAATCAGAATTTTAATTGAAGCTAAATTAGCCTCAGCTACCTCGAGGCGTAATTTAGTCGAGATTACAAGCGGTAACGACCGACCAGAACCGTAAGCTGACCCCTTGACGATTCATTACCAACGATAATTGATCTACGCTCGGATTGTGCGGCGAATTTTCAAGTAAAATTTCAACAATAATCGAATGGCGTGTCGATAACGCTAAGAGCAGGTAAACCGACGAAGGAAAGTGCGTCCGGTTGGTAAAATTGTCGGAGGCTCGTTGTGAGGAGACCTTAAGAGCAGGTACTCATAGCGGATAAAACGAAGAGAGACTGCTGGTACAGGTTTACCGCATCGGATTTGCACGGTGAATCCGGCACGGTGGAAGGGACCGAAGATGGAAACACAGGATTGGAGGCCATGTTGGAAAATACCGCTTGACCGTAAAAATTCTTCACCCTCCCGTACCCTGTTGCCGAGTACTCGCTGCTCCTCTCCTTGCCTTCTTTCGCGTTTCAAGGACTAAAAATCCAACCCCTTGCACCAGAACCAGAAAGGCGGTATTGAAGATCGACTTGAAACCCGGTCTGCCAGCCTCTCTAGCCTTCTTCGACCCGTTGCTCCTTTTAGCTTCTCTGAAACGCTGTTCTCCATCCTAGCGTTCCTCGACTTCTTTCGAACACCTTTAGAAAGGATGATCCTCAAATCGCCGGTTCTAACAAACATCGTTCGGATCGCTTCCTGTGTCCCGACGAGAAGAATCATATGAATTATCGTACGGCCGTGTTACGAAACGGGCATTAAATTGAAAGTTACACCGAGCTATTATCGTAACTCGACGAAGGGTTAAAAAGTGACTCGTAACGATACGGAGAAAATTGCGAGAATCGCGATTCCGTGTACCGATAAGCAGTTGAACCTCGGCTGGAATTCCGTTCTTGGGTGTCCCGGTGCCTCGGCGACTTTTTTCGGGCCGCGGAGTCGCGTGTGCATCGACCCGGACCTCGTAGATCAACGCACGGGCAGAAAACCGGAAACGAATATGAGAGGCTGGGTTCGCCTGGCGCGTTATTTTCCGAGCACCACTGCTTCAAGGCTAATTGCCTCATTACGATCCTCGCGAGGAAGAAAACGAACCGGACGAGCGTACCGCGACCGGTGTAAATAACTCGTTGCCTTGGATTATTCGGATGGCCGATCGTAAACGAGAAGCAGAAGCGTCTGGCTTCTAATAAACGTTTATGGGGACCTCTTATCGCAGGTACAGACAAATGGCGAACACCTCCTGCCTAATGGCCTCTCGTTTCGTTCGAAACAACTTCGAATGTTCGCGATGAAACACGGTAATTATATCCACTGACTGGATATACCGAAAAAACGAACCGTTCGATTTTTTTAGCTCGACAGCTCCCTCGTTGCTAACGTGGAAAACGGCACGGTGTAAATCTTTTCCTCGCGACGATTCTGCGACTCTTTGTTCCCGAGGATCTGAGGAACGAGCATTAAGGACGAGCAAAATGCATTCTACACCCGTTAGACCGCGGACTCGATTTGCTCTCGCAACCCCGGGGGGTTTCGTAGAGAGGGGCACGTCGTAAAAAATGGAATTCCCCGCTCGTTGCCTATCCACCACGATCACGCGAGTGCCCCCACGTCTACCTTCTCGTCGTGTACATACGTTCACGGTCATCTTCCTTCGCGTATGTATTTACCGTACATATTCCGGCATGGCTGACCATAGAGACCGGCTCACAGAAGTGGCCGAGACATTCGCCTCTCGACCGCGACCATGAGAGCACTCGACCCGCGACGCCCGCCGATCTTCCCCCGTTTCTTCGTTTCCTTCGCGCTTCTGTTGTTTGTTGTCCATATCTGCGAGCCGCGCAGTGTACGCGAAAACGGGGACCCGGTCCCCTCCGCTGGCCGTTCGGCGATCGACAAACATGAAGAGGTAAACGCGGAATCAGTGTCAGTTGACTCTCAAAGACTCGCTTCTGAGCAGCATGACTCCGGCTCCCGAGTGCAAGGATCTTCTCCAGAAGACCATCGAGTGCGAGGAGAGCTCGGCGGTTCTCAGGACGAAAAAGTCGTGTCCGAGGAGATCATCACGTCCGACGAGCAAGCCTCGGTGGTCGGAGGAACGAGACGGAACGTGGACGATTCAGGAACCAGCGAGAGCAGCGAGGTGTTGAAGCAAGAGGACGAGGAGTCCAGCGTGGCGAAGAAACGGAGGCGAAACGATGTCGCGTTGTCTGGTAAGCCCGAAGTCGAAGCAGAGGCGAAGGACGAAGCGATCAGAAGGTTCGACGTCCAAATAGACACCGAAGGTGTTCCGCGACCGAGCGTCAAGAATGAGCCACGGAAATCTGAAGAGATCCGCGTTTCGGAAATTCAAGACGAGGTGCCTGGCTCTTTTCGGCAATCGGGGAAGTTAGACGAAGTCATGAAGAACGAAGAGGACGCTTCGCGACCCGAAGAGAGCAGGGAATTCAGGTCGTTCGCCGAGTCTCAAGGTAAATCTAAACGAAAGAGTTCTACGGTGTATTTGAGCGCGGAGGAGAAGAAGATATCCGACGGAGAACAGCAGTCAATCGTAGAGGGGCAGATAAAAAAATTGATATCGATTCGCGACGGGGCGTTGGACGCGCAGAAGGATAGCTCGGATCCGAAACTGGTAGTCGGGGTAGACGAGGTCGCGATCACTCACGAGGAGATTCGAGACGAGGATAGGGTTTTGGGAGAGAGACCCGCGAATACGATCGCGGAAAAATGGAAGGAACAGACCGCGCGATTACAAGAAATGATCGAAGACGAGACGTCCCGGTTGAGTTTGAAAAATCAGGAAGTTCTTCCCGACATTCCGAAGTTTACGGAGAATCAATTATTAGAGGCTCTGGAGCGTATCGTGCAGTTGACGAAACCGGAGCCTTTGAACGTCTCCTTCCCGAACAGATCGATAGAAAACAGTTCTCTGTCCAACGACCAGCTGCAAATTCTAAGATACACCGAGCAATTGCTGTCCCCTCAGGAACGGCAGAAGTTCGATGATCGCGTATCGGCGTGCGTGAAAGAACTCAGTTTCATGAACTGCGCGAGAATCTTCGTCTGGCCGGTGATCGCGTACGATCTTCCACAACCGATCGTGGCATCGCTGTCGCCGGGTCTGATAAATCTCAATTTGTTACCGAAGCAGAAATCGGGCAGGGCTCAGAATCTCCAGCAGTTCCGACTCTTGACTCCGGACGCCGTCATTTACAACATCCTCCAAGACGCTTTACAAACTTATCCGAGAGACGAGACTTCCGTTTCCTACATCGATCCGAACAACGACACTTTAAACAAATTATTGACACCCGATCAATTGGCCATCCTTCAGATGGCCGAGAAATTTTTGCCCGAAGCCTTGCGCAGAGACTATTCCGAAAAAATGTTCTCTTGCGTGAGAAGGTTCGAGTATTTCAGCTGCGTCAAGTATTTCGCTTGGCCACTGGTCAAGCAGTATTTCCCAGCGTTGCCCGCGTTCCCTGATTACCAGAGCTGGTACCCGATCGTCGATCTCTCCCCGCACTATCCAATCTTCCCTTTCCCTGGCTCTTTGGAGGACGTCGGCGAGCTACCAGAGGTCGTCGACGCTGACGGGACCAGAGCGCGGAAACCGAGACCGGAAGTGGTGATATTCCAGGTTTTACAAAATACGTTGAAGGAGCAACAATCGCGAACGTCGACCTCGCAATCGTTTCTCGATCAGTCGTCGGACACTCACGTGGCTCTGATTCCCGAGGATCAACTGTTAACAATCAACTTGGCCGAACAGTTACTACCGATCTCGTATCGACCGGAATTCGTCCAAAAGACCGTGAGATGCATGAAGGAGTACAATTACCTGTCTTGCTTCAAATACTCGGCTTGGCCCACGGTCAGACGCTTTATCCCCACTCTCCCGGATATTTCGAGAATTCTTCCAGATTTTCACGCGCAGGCAATCTCGGACATCGGTGCTTACGTACCACAGATCTCGACCTATCCCGATCTCAGATTCTATCTGCCCGTTAACGAAGCTCCGATAAGGGAAGCGTCGACCGCGCAAGCTTACGTTACGTTGAAGAAACCGGAGAATTTGTTGAAAACGTCCGACGAATTGGAGATCAAGATCATAGATATTTTATTGAAAATGAGGAAATCTCTGGAGAAAGACAAGGAGATGTTCATGTTGGCAGGGAACGCGGTCACTTTCACCAAGAGGCAAATCGACATCTTGCAATTAGCCGAGTGCCTCATACCGTCCTCCGCCCGGTCAGCCTTCGTTTCAGAAATTCTAGCGTATCTCCAGAAAAACGACAACTTCATCGATTCCGCTAGACAAGTGATATGGCCCACCCTTTCGAAATACGTACCGAGCTTACCAGAATTTCCAGCGTTAGACATTTTCAAGGAAAGAATCGACGTGGGCGCGCAAGAAACAGTGAGAACTAAAGAGAGTACGATCGCTCCCGGAGAAACTGTACAGGAACGAGGAACTTCTGACTCCGACAAGATTTACTCCCAGGACAAGGAATCGCGAAACCGAGTACCCGACGTACCAGTGATCAGCGTGTCTGGTACCAGGTTCGTCCCGATCTTTACGGAACATCCGGAATCTGTGATCCTCAATATTCTCCGCTCGGTTCAACTGCAGTCATTCAAAACGACTTCCACGACTCAGGCTCCGACGATCAAGAATCAACAGTTTCTCGATTATCTGACGGAACAGCAGGTCAACATCATAAACATCGTCGACTCTTTACTACCCGAGAGTTCACGACCGGATTTCGCCAACAAGATGATCGACTGTCTCCGCGTGAATAATTTCCTAATATGCACCAGAGACGTGATTTGGCCCGTGTTAACAGGATACTTTCCGTGGTTACCGAATTTCCCGAACTTCGGCATAGTAGCTAATACTCCCGCCACTGCTAACTCTTCCACCACGCTCAATCAAAATATTACCGAGCACAGCGCCAGTTCAGACGCTTCGCCCCTTTCCGAAACGGACGTAAAGACTGGACAGCACGGGGACACGACGGTGACGATAACCGACACTAGATTCTTCCCGATTTACAACGAATTGCCCGAGACCATTATCCTGAACATCCTGAAGGCGGTTCATCTCTCGATCCCGAACTTACCTGCTTCCTCGGCTCCATTGAGGACGCAAGATTACTCCGGACGTTTGACAGAACAACAGATAAATATTGTACAAATCGCAGAGAACTTGTTGCCGATACCGGTACGATCAGAGTTCATCGACAGAATCAATTCCTGCACGAAAGAAAGAAACTTCTTGGAATGCACGAGGGACATCACTTGGCCCATGATGGCCCAATTTTATCCGTGGCTGCCCAGCTTCCCGAATTTCGGCACGCTTCAGAATTTGCCCCAAGCATCGAGTTCGAATTCGATCAGATTCCAAGTGTTCTTGTCTGAGAAACCGACGCCGAACCCAGAATCGCAGAAGAGCTCGTTAAGAGAAGCCGAGGAGAAAATACAAAACGCTTTGTCGAACGTCCTGAAGGAAACACCCGATCTGGATCGATCGTACCTGAACGTGACCGATTCTATTTCATCCGTCCTGACTCCGAAACAAATGGACATTATCAAATTGGTCGAGAAAGGACTTCCGGAAGCTGCGAGACTTCCGTACGTGACGAAGATGACCGAGTGCGCGTCGCGTTACAGTTTCTTGGCCTGCACGAACAGCATCAGCTGGCCGACTTTGATGCAATACGTCCCGTCATTGCCGGATCTTTCGAACATCATCGATTTTGGATCCAATCTTTCAACTCTCAGCTCCATTACCATTGGCCCTCCGAGTATTCCTCTCCCTCAGTCGCCACTTAGAGATCAACGATCCTTACAGTATTCTCAACGTCCCGACCCTCGTACCACGTCTCCGGGTAATCTGGAGATTAAGATAACTGGAAACGGGCCGTTAATAAGCATCTCCCAGCTTTCTCCGATCTTTCCGCAACAAATCGGAGTTTATCAATTAGAAGGCAATAAAGACCAGACAAACGAGAACGTACCCTTGAGCAATACCCTTCACCTTCTCGCGACTTCTCAAGGATCGATCGGACTTCAACAATTGGCAGAACTGATTGATTCCAAGAAACAGCAGAAACTTCCGTTTCAAGGAACTTTTAACAACAGATTCGATGAAACTGCAGCTTCCATTCCTACCACCACCCCGCAGCCTGCGAATTATCAAGGACCAATCGAACTTCAGGAATTGCTACAAAACTGGAACTCTAACGTACCACCTCTCGCTAGTTCGCCCGACCTTCTTGCAACTTCTCAGCGTCCAGCCGGACTTCAGCAAAAACCGCAAGAACTGGGAGGACTCGTGACCCAGAACTCGTTGAACGATCAACGTCAGGAGAGCAAGATAAATGAAAGCTCACCGATCACGCCGTCAGTAGGTGAATCTATGGTTTAATTAATTACTGCGGATTTGATACGATTTATAGAAGAATCGAACGTGTAGCAGAATAAAGAATCCGAGCGTACATTGTGATCCTCAGATGATAAGATGCACCTTTTAAACCGATACCATAAACATTTTACTTTGCAGTCAAATCCGCAGTCTGCCAATTTTAACAGCGAATCATTTTTAACGATTGGTCTACCGTAGGTAACGAAGGGGTCCCAGGATACGCCGGCCAGCCGCCGGGCATCCCCTTAGACATTTCCGGCGAGAGAATCACATCCGGCAAACGACAGACAGAGACGAAAGACTCGAGACCACCGGTGGCCAAGGCTAGGAAACGCAGGAGTGCTACGGGCGTCCCAAGTTCTCGCTACGACACCGAATACACGTCCGACGAAATCGAACCTTCGGCGTCGTCGGTCGACGAATTTCCAAACGTCACGGAATCCGAGTATCTTCGAATGTTAATTAAAATAAGAGAGAGGCGAAAATCGTTCGGTGCCAATTTGCCAAAACCGAAACGGTACACCGTCGACGCGTTGAATTCTACCGTCAGAAATAATTTGACGGCTGATCAATACGAGATATTGAAGGCCGTCGACGATCTGGACGACCAGTCGTCAGGTAAGGGTATTGCGTCGCAGGTGATACAGTGTATCACGGGGCTCAGTTTCATCAGGTGTGTAGGGATATTCGTCTGGCCGCTGATCGTGAACAATCTGCCTCTGCCGTCGTTCCCGAGTTTCGGATTCTTCGGGAGATCGTTGGAAACGGAGAACAAAGTGCAGGACTTTTTTGGAATGTCTACGGACAGTTTCGAGAGGGAACTGTTGGAGAGGAGAGACTCGATCGAAGGGTTCCTGCTCGACTGGTACAGAAAATTGGTCGAAGAAAAATTCCAGATGGACGTGGGTTTGTTTAAAATCAAGGGTTATGGGAATAGCGAATTGGGTATCAGCGTCTCCGGGTTCAGAGAAGGCAGAGGGGCGAAGATCAAAGACAACAAAAATCTTCCTAGTATTTTGACGATAATAAGCGACATCATGGAAGAAGTTCTCGATCAACGACCCGAGGGGGAGAAACCGAAGAAGGACAAGGAGAAGAAAGAGAGGAGCATCGACGACTCGAGAGAGAGTTATTTTCAATTTCTGAAGGATAGCGAAGAGTACGTGGACATCAGGAGGTCTATGAACGATCAAGAGATTATCACGATGTTTCTGGACAGGATCAGAGCGAACGATTCCGATTACGGCGACGACGGTTTTAAATATTTCACCGCAGACGACGCGTACAACGCTTTCGAAGTCCTGTTCGGTACGAAGTTACACGACAAGCTCGGTCAGAGTTCGCCGAAAGAGGTGGACATCGTGTCTCTGGATTCGGAAAAGGATGCGGCGGAGCTGAAAGTTCTGCCACTGAACGGCCGAGTGACCTACGACCTCGAGAAAGAGTCCGCCAGAGACCAGGAGAACAGGCAGCGAGAGAAGAGGGCCAAGAACTTCTTCAAGTCCTTCTTGGAGAAACGCCCCGACAAATATTTCAAGGATCATCACATAGAGAACTTCGAACACAATAAAATAACCGAAGAACGTCGTCCTGAAGACGGTAGATCGAGTTTGATCCTCAAATTGCCCTCCTTGCACGACGAATTCTTGTCCAGAATGGTGACCGATTCCGTGGTTCGTTTGAGCAGGGGATTAAAATCTAAAATGACGCAGATGATGCCTGGGCTCGGGTTGATCTTCACGTTTTTACTTCAGACGGCACTGGCCCACGCGCGAACGGCCGCATCGGTGGCTGGAATGCTGAGCAACGTCGCCTTGGGATCGGCTATGTTCGGCATGGTGCGAGACTCGCTTATGGGATCGAACGATCACCCGAAAATTAAATATGTTTACGACAACGATAAAATGGGACCGGGCATCACCTGGCCCTCTCGTTACGAGCCGCATTATTACGGATAAAAATTTTGTCTGATACTTAGAGTAATTATAATTTAACATAACGTTTATCACCGATAGATAAGGATTCCGGATTTTGGAAACGAGAGCTCAGGACGCGTAGACTCTCTCGCCTGGACTTGCCATTTTTAATTAATAAAATAAGAGGGTGCCAGGGTTACAATAATTACGATTATAGGATTGTATTTCAACGCACGGGACTTGATTCGCTATGAGTTAAGATTTGTTTAAGGTTCTTTTTAAAGGCTGAATAACAATGAACGTGTTGGGCTAGCTTTAATTTTTTCCTGGCCGGCGACGATATCCTCGTCGAGTGCCTCCTTCTCGGTCTTCCTCGAGGTCGCAAACGCGCATACGTTTGCGATTTCGTTTTCTTATAGCACGGACTGCAGAGACTCGATCTTAGATTAGAAGTAAAGATGTAGGGGTTTGTTAAGCAATCAAATTCTCTCGTTAGTTCGTGAAAGGATTTCATGGTGGCGGGTAATAATTAGGCTGCGAAGTCGACGCATTTACATGGAGTATAAAACGTATGTGCAATGTTTAGTAATACACGGAATATCCGAGGTCAATAGAATCGACGAATATCTGTTTTTTTTTTTTTCATTTTATAAGTTGACGTTATGAACGGCTTTTGCATGAAGATTCGCAGTCTAGTAATAATAATAATCTCTTAGATCTATCCTCTTATCGATCTCCGTATTTAACCAGTGTGCTCGATTATAATTAAAGAACAAATACATACACACGCATATCGTAAGGTCCTTAGCACGTAAGAACTGTCTCGTTGATGCCACGTTTACGAAAAGAAAATAATAAACGACTGAGAATATTCACGTTCCTGGTTTCCTTCGCGCGAGTCACTTCAACCACTTCTTTCCTTATCTTAGAGTAATTTTTCGAGATGACGATCGCACGAATAATCGTTCCCGTCTCGTTTCTTGCTGTTCGAAACGAGTTTCATCGAATTCCGTTTGTTGATCAGATTTAAGGTATTAGCTAAGGTATTAAGCTATACAGTCAATCCCAAAAGTTTATGTACTTTAGAAAAACGCATTTCCTATAATTAAAAAGAAATCAGACGTCGGAAGAACAATGCTAATAATAAATAGCTACGTGCTAAAAATTATAGA